GCAAGAATTGTGTAATTTTTTTAAGTAAATTCTTTTTCAATATTGAGATCTGATAAGAAAATGTATTAAATTGAATTTGAATAAGATGATAATAAGTTAGAGAAGGGTACTTCTTAACTTGTACATAAGCTAATCCCTACTAATTCATTTTAATTCGATTACCAGTAGGGCTTATAAATTTGTTTAGATATAATTCACATATTCACTGACTATATTATGGTAATAAGATTCTTGACAAGTATATCTACGATCTTGACTCTAGCGTATTTTACTTACCCCAAGAGTGAACGATATTAAGGGAGTGTGGTTCTAGATTCTATATAGAATGTACAACCTCACTTACCCTTTATACATTTAAGTTTATTTATGAAGTTTATAATTTGATTTAATTTATGAAGATTTTCAGAGTTGATGTATGTAATTCTTATTTGTAAATCAGGTGTCCTAAAAAGCAGCAACCACAATACCCGTGGTGAGTTGAAATTACAAAATATGTGAGAGTAAAATAGATGAGTACATGAAGGAATTTGGAAAGATATTAAAAGTAGTCCGGATCAATATAATGAAATATTGGCTAAGATTACTCATGAGGATTATGCTTATGTGAAGAATGAATATATTTTCATAATCTTAGTTCTGCAATTGGAAACTCATTAAACTCACATAATCGACATCTGAAGAACTTTGTTGGACTAGTGTAAGTCTGTGTAGTTAATAATACAATGGTCCATATTAATACTTCTGAAACAATAAAGCAGTTTTGTTATAAGAGAACTTGTACCATTTTCTTCAAAGTACCTATTTAATTTCATGCTGTATTAGAGATATATATATATAACTTATATATAACTTATAGTAAATAGTAGTAACGGTATTTTTCTCACAATGATCAAATGTTAAAAGTATACCTATTACGAGTAGACGGTATCATATAGATCCTATTAGGATCTGGTATCTAAATAAAATAACTAAAATTTAAGTATTAAATTATATATTTAAATATGAAAATCGTGTATTCTAAAAGGTACACTCTTCGTGACTAAATATCTCTGGCTCCTACCTTTAGTGGTCAATTTATTTCTGGCTATTGAATAGACGTTTGACACAATAGGGGAAGACAAAGGAGGAGATTAAAATTTTCTTAATATAATTTTGCTTTCTCATTGGATTTTAATATTTAATTGAAATTTCTCATCTGTGGTATCACAACAAGCCATTATTGAGATATCTCAAACGAGAGCTTTGATTATAATTGAAGCGGTTATTTTAAATTATTCTTGATTTCGATAGCAAAACAAGTTCAAATCAGAGAGATTTGTATGGGAATTTGAACAGCTGAAAGCAGAAATAGCTGGAATAATTTACCGTAAAGCAGTAATGTATAGTACAAGCAAGTACTATTGTGGATAATTTTTAGGAATGAATGAGGTTTTCACACGAAATTAAAAAAAAACTGTTATTTATCATATGTATATATGATATGTGCAAAATATTTATCATATATGCTAAGTATATATTTTGTGAAAGTAGTTAAGAAGTGTGAAGATATGATAAATCTGACAATCAAATTACAATGATACGTTGTGAGAATCGATATTTTTAGTCTTTAATTTCAGATGTCAGTTTAAAACTCTTGACAGTTACAATTACAATTAAAACTCTCATGTGAATCAATTATACTACGTTTACGTTTTTAATCTAAAATCTTTACATTATACATTGGAGATTAATTTTGACGTTTCTCTTGCTGTGTTTTGTTTCGTGTATTTGATAAATTTCTGTTTAAAAAGCATTTAATTACAATTTTGTTCAAAAAATTGTAATATAAATTTAATAAATAGTTTTATAACAATAATTGAACAAATTTTAGTTATGATTATATACAAAACAATTAAAGAAATTTATTAAAAATGTACTCACTTCGGATTTTGACATTTCTTTTTCAATTCTTCTAAGATCTTAAAAAATCTACGATATTAAGTCATTTGCAGAGTTACACCGATAAATAGTCACCATTTTTAAGGATATTAAAAATAAACCTCGATTAAAAAGATTAGCTTTTGTATGAGAAATCTGAGATTAAACAACGAGATTAGTACTTTAATCTCGATTATTGTTTTAATCTACTTTTAATCTCACAATGTAAACGCATATAATAATGCACAACCGTTGCACTAACACACATTAATTACCACAATAATATTAGTGGAAGCATATTAATTTCCTTCTGGGTAACCAATTCATACTCTGTTGAGAAGTGTTTTTATTGTTTTGCTTTAAATTGAAACGGTATTATTTTGCTTCATTCGAAGCAAATTAAGTAGATTGAACTAAAGCAATAAAACGGGTTCATTTTTATTTTCAATTGAAGTGGCCTCATCAAATGGAGCAACCCCGTTTTATTGAACAGGTTCACAGCCAATAAAGCAAGCAACTAAAATTTTAATCAAAACACAATTTTGCTGTGACGTTTCTCATTGCAAATCGTAAACGCAAAGAAACAAAAACAAGTTTCTTAACTTAATTTTTTTTTTATTAGCGTTAAACATGCGAATCGGCAAACGCCAGTTTCGTCGTAGCACAACTACACGTGTTATGTGTGATTCAACTAGCGCTGTTTGTGTAATAGCACAAACACTCAATCAAACACACAAGCACAAAAATAAAAACACGTATAAGCACAAAAGCTAATAAAGCCCAACAACAAAAGCACTACTAGGCAGTGGTTTTATTATATTGTTTAGAAAAAGAGAAAAACAATGCAAAAGAAACACAATAACTTTGTCACCCATACGTCTCGTTTGTATTCACGTACAATGAACACTATTTGTGTACTATTTGTGTATTGTTGCATTCCCGTGCATGTGTACGATTTCCCCTGTTTTCCTACTCGTACACAAAATATCGAAGTATAGTGTACGGTTGATACAGTTTTGTATAATAATGGCACGACTAAAAGCCACAAAATCTCTTGGCCAACTCATGCACTCCTGTTCAAAAGTATAACTTGTTTTATTTTCTTAATTCAGAGTATACTTTTTGTGTGCTTGCTTGCTACTTTTCCCGAGATTTGGTAACACAATTCACAATTCATCCATTCGCTGAATTCAATTTACTCTTCTACAGACAATGAATACACTTATTTTTTAATGCTGCCAAGCTTTTATCCGAAAACACGACATTAAAACATATAAGACATTTTGCCCAGTACGGGAACACAGAAGAGAAGATAATTCATATATTTTTAGTATGTATACATTTTAATTATATATTTATTTTCAATAAATTTAAAATATTTATTAAAAATAAAAAATAAAATCATTTTTGTTAGATAAATATTATTTTTCTTATTTTATTTTTTATTTTATTTATTATTATTATTATTTAAAAATAAATATTTTATTATTACAATAAATTATTTCAGTTTTTAAAATTATGTATTAAAATCATATATTATATATTAATATATATTATTATATACTATTTATATAATTAATACATATATACATATTTCTTATATTCATTTTCATTAGATAAATATTATTTCTCTTATTTATTTATTTTATTTTGTATTTTGTTTATTATTATTTAAAAATAAATATTTTATTATTAAACGAATAATTTTAGCTTTTAAAATTATATATATTATTATATATTATTTATATAATTAAGAAAAAAATTTCTTTTGAAGGAAATTTACATAAATTTTGTGGATTGGATGAAAGCTTCGTTAAATTTTTTGTAACACTAAAAATGTTTATATAAAAATGTTGTTGATTTCTTAATCTTCAATTTTCAAGCGCTATTAGTATTATTATTAGCCGTATTCCATCTGAAACATAGGCTTGTTACTTAGAATCTCCAACTATTTCTATCTCTAGCAATATAACGCAATTCATTTAAAGATTTGCCGGTTTCATTTGTTAGCGCTCTTTACATTATCTTCCTCTGTGTCCTTGGTCTTCCCTTGGAGATTCCAGTGAAGTATTGTTTGGCATATTTCATTGTACAGCTTTCGAAGACTGTTTAATGATCAAATAATCATCAAGATTAAAGCTCTTAATATTGAATATCATTTTTGGGGTCGACATTATAATAACAAGGAAATATTACAAATTTTAGAATAATGATAATCATAACTATAAGATGAATGCACCTGAACTTCACAGCAATATCTATCAATTTTTGGTGGATCACAAGAACATTATATACCAGACATGACTTTATTTCTATGAAACGCCACAAACAAATATTCTTCTAATATTTCAACCATAAAATGGACGCATCAAATCTTTTCTTTCAGTTTTTGGTAAATCATAAAATCTATAATTGGTATGATGAAATGCCATAGTTTTTTCCCTTTAATACGACTATAACATGGATTCATAAAAACTGTCTAGCAATATCTTTAGATTTTTGGCAGAAAACTAAAAGTTGAGATCGTTTCAATCAATAAATTCTCTTTTTCTGAGGATAATCAAATCCAACGTTTCTCTAATTTTTTACTTCAAATGCATATAAACTATTATATAGAACTCACAATTCAAAAATTATAATTCTCCAAATTCAACAAAAATAAAAGCGCCGAATACTTTTTGCAAAGCACAAATATTAATAGTTAAGTAAACTATTGCTTATTAAATATATACATTTTTGCAAAATTCTTCCAGTTGGTGATATATTAGAAAGGAATTAGTTTTGTCTTGCATTGCTAGCAAGAAAGTGTATTTCGGATTTTTTCAATCTTGTCTACCACAGATTTTGTTAAAGAACCGCTTCTTAATTCTTGGAATTATTTATTCACGTGTAATAACATCTCTGTCTATTTACCGTTTTATTTTAGCAGTTATGCCATTTTTCAAAATTTCTAGTTAGAAAAGGGATATCTGTACTTGTACGCTAGAAAGAGACAAATTTTAGTTATAACTCCTTTTCATGCAAGTGCTTTTGGTACAGTTTTTTGTAATATAAGTTTCAAGTCGGTTTTTTCGGTATATAAAATGAATGCAAAAGAAAACTTTAGTAGAATTTATGTTTCCGAAACGGAAATATATCTCCGTGTATCAAATACAAATTTGCAGGAAGCCGATATACGCAAATTATTTAAAGATTTTCATGTAATCGAATGTAAAGTGAAAACGAAAACCAATATTAACATTATATTCAAAGAGACAATTTTGTCGAAGAAATCTGTGGTACCTAACCCAAATTCATTATTAAAGATTAATTACAATGATCAGCAAAGAAAGCTATTATTGGAGCCAAGTATTTTTAAAATACCGACAACACAACATCTTTCAATTCAAAAAACGTTAAGCTTCGATAGTGAATCGTCCACTGCGACCACAAAACAGTTACACACCGTTTATACATCAGCACCTACTCTCGGAACCCAGCGTTTAACAAATAATGGAGCAATAACCCAATTACCAATAATAAAAAGTTTCGGTAAAATATTGTTCACCCCAACCACCAGCCAATGGGGAAATACCTTGTTAACCATTAATTCGACAAATCCTAGAATGACAACAGCAGGTATGCAGCCTTCAGTTGTAAATAGTGCAATAACTCAATCATTTATGATTGAAAATGTAAACAAGAAATCGTTCACGACAACCAACAATCTATTGCAAAGTACTTTGCCAACCATTAATTCCGCAATAATTCCAATATCAACTGTAGGTGTACAGCCTTCAACTATAAATAGTGGTCTGTTACCAACAATTAATAATTTTGGCAATAAATCGTTTACAGCGACCACCAACCAATTACAAAGCATTATGCCAAGGATTCTTACCATACCATCTGGAGATGTACACACTTCAGCAGTAAATAGTGCAATTACTCAGTCATCTATAACTGAAAACGTCGGTAAGACATCGTTCGCGACAAGCACCAACCTGTATGGAAGTACTTTGCCAACCATTATTTCGCCAATACATCCAATACCAACTGTACTTATACAAAGTTCAGGCATAAATGGTGCACTAGCTCAGTTACCTATAGTAAAAAGTTTTGGCGGGAAATCGTTAACGGCAATCACCAACGAAATGCAAAGCATTTTTCCAAAAATTCCTACAACACCGACTGTGGATATACAACATTCAGTTGTAAGTAGTGCAATTACTAAGTCACCTATAACTGAAGAACTCAGTAAAGAATCGTTCACGGCAGCCACCAACCAGTTGCGAACCACTATGGCAGCCGCTTATACAAACACACCCATAATGAATAGAAGAAAAAATCCCATTATATCACTTAAACGTACTTTGCCTATAGCGGAAATCAATGCGGCAAAACTACCATTAAGAGTAGTAAAAATCGCGAAGAAAAAACGTGATGAAGAAGACGTTGGTTCCACTCCTAATATTATTCCAAAGCCACTTAAAACAGAGTTTCAAGAGAAGAAAAAAGAAAATGTGAAATCTGATGTAATTCCATTAATAGGTAAAACAAGATTAAATGCTAGTAGTAGTCAAGGAAACCAGTCACTATCTACCAATGTTAAATTGTATTACGCAATGCCTGGCACTTATGAGCCGAACGAGAAATTTGTTGCAGGGCCTGAAGGCAGTAATATAATTTTATATGACTTTCCAGATGATTTTTTGACATTAGATTTGGAGATGATATTTTTACCATATGGAAATGTCGTATCAACGAAAATATCATCAGATAATGTTTTTCGGCGCATTTGTTTCATCGCTTTCGATAAAGCTGAGTCTGCAGATATGGCGGTTAAAGCAATCCATGGATTAAATATGGGTGCAAATACTCTTAAGTGCCTTAAAATTCATTTTAAGAATAATTCTAAATAATTTTGTTGTAAGTTGTATAAAGAGAAATTGTAAATAAAGAATATATAACAGAAATTTCTGTTATATAGCGACTATATATCCGCTATAATTATTATAAATACCATAATAATGAAATTTACTTTTAAGTATATTATACATTTACTTTAATAAATATATACAATACATGATTTCACTACATACATAACACTCCTATAACTTATGTATATATACATATATATATAAATAGTCTTTGACTAAATTATACTAGTACATGTGTTTAGCAAGAACAATCTATCAATGACTACATTAAAAGATGGAGTACAAGCTGGGAATAAGGCCTATTATGGATTAAAACTAATAATTACAAGTAATAATATTTCGCAGAAAACAAAACTAAAAATTTACAAAACATTGATTGGCCCAGTAGTAACATATGGCTGCGAGATATGGAGATTAACTGAAACTAAAGAAAACAAGATGGCAATCTTTGAAAGGAAAATACTCAGAAAGAAAACAGGATGTATCGCATAAGATACAACTACGCGCTAGAACGGCTAGCTGAAGGTGATACAATCAACAAATTTATGAAAAAGCAGCGATTAAGATGGGTTGAACATGTGATGAGAATACCGGATATGAGAGGACCGCTTAAGATTTATAAGAACTAAGTAGGAATCAACAGAAGAAGAGGGCGACCAAGGAAACGATGGAAAGATAGTGTGCAGCAGGACTGAGAAAAATTGAACATAAGAAATTGAAAAACAAAAGCAAAAAACAGAGAAGAATGGACCTACATGGACTTTATAAAACAGATGATGATGATGACATAATATTATACCCTTCTTACTGTTATGAGGAAAGATAAAAGTTAATTAGGAAAACAAGATTTCCTAGAAAACAGTCTGATCGGCTATTTCTTCTTTCGTCTGTGTATTTGGCCGTCAGTTTATCTTTGTAATTCGGCAATTTATTCTCTGTGTAATTCGACAATTTGCAATACTAAGCGCATGAAACTATGCTTGGAGATATTTTGTGAGATCTGTCAGTTCAAGTCTAAATATGATTGATATATATACATATATATAGTTCTATATATAAGAACTATTTAAATGAGTTTTGTTTTAAAAAAAATCTTCAATGCGCCCAAAACTCTTTTTTTGATTTTGAGGTTTACATATTAGTAATATGATAAATATATTAGGTGTAATATTATTTGGTATTGCCTTGGTGTTTGGTATTAGCTTTCGTGAGGAGTTTTATCACGAAATTGATATAACTGAGCGAAATAACATACAGCGGCTTCGCTGGCTTGGTCATGTCGTAAGATGCACCAATGAAAAAGGTATTTTAGTAGTTGGGAAAGAAAGCGTAGAGGTACATCGTTTCTCCGGTGGAGTAATCAAGTTGAGAGAGCACTTACCGAACTTGATGTACGAAACTGTACGAGTTCAGATGCATTTTTATGTCTAAAAAAGTAAGTAAATAAGATGTGTGTAACTTATTTGGCGAAGTAAGTTATTAAATTAAATTTAATAGGAGAAATATAATACATAAGATCGCATTTTTTAAATTGGAGGAAAATATTTTAGAAGAACCAAAGAATTACAAATCTATAAAACCTAACCTAAAAAACTTCAAGTAGTCGATTAATCTATATGAAGTGTATTAGGCAAAGTTAACTGCTAAAATGTAATTATATGAGTTCAATACAATACAAGACAATACGAGGAGATGTGATGCCTTAAGACGTATTACCTAAACGGCTCAGTTAGACGGTAGGTAGCTTAAAGACTCAGTTAGACGGTAGGTAACGTAAGAAATTAATTTAAAGCGAAATAAACAAAAGCGGAGAACACTGTTTATTTCGCTCCTATCAAATACGCAGGTTTGATTGGTTGTGCATTTCGCTTCGAATTAATTTCTTACGTTACCTACCGTCTAACTAAGCCTTAACTCAGCCTTTAAACGGTGGTTCCTGAAACAGTTTTCTGTCCGGACGAGCGGACTTTTAAGGGCAGTTAAAATCCCCCACTGACTTGGCGAGTTTTTCTCCCATCAAAAAAATATACGAGGAGATCGTTTTCAAAACTTCAAAGAAAAAAGATAAAAAAATAAAAATTGGAGAAACTAAAACTTGTGGAACCATAACGGGTTTTTAATTTTTTAATTTTTTTTTTTTTTGAAAATCTTATTTTGAAAAAAGAACTTTAAAAAAAGCCAAACGGAAAGTTTAAAACGCTTTTGCAATGCTTTTAAATTATTTTGTTTTTGTAATTTTTAATAAAAAATTTACAAGTTATTTTTTCACTGCTTTAAGTATCAATTTTGAAAAAATACAAGCAATAAAGCTTGATGGACTTTTGTGTTTCGGGTTATACTAAAATCTAAAATAAAGCTCACGGCTTTCGAAAGCATTCAAGCATTCTTGAAGTGCTTCAGCGTAAACAAACGAACAAGTTTGATGCTGAAAGAAAGCAGCGAGACGGACGCAGCGTCAGGTAAGGGCTTCTTGCCGTGCTGCATTGTGCCGTACCGTGTAGCTTAATTTAACTTTTATTTGGATTTATCAAAAAGTGAGCTTAATTCAAACAGGCGCACATCCCTTCTTATACAAAATTAGTTGGCAAAAAAATTATTAAGCTATTTGCAAAATAATCCATAAACTTTGACAAAAGTTCAGTGAAAATAAAAACTTCAGTCTCAAAAGACTTTGTTTGAATTTACACTAAGCAATGTGCGCCAAATGAAAAATGTACATGTCAGTCTTTTGTGGACACTGAGTTGCGTTCGCGCCAAAAAAGCGAAGAAGAAGACAAGAACAACAACTTGTTGCTGTTGACTATTCCAATGCAAAAATGGCACTACTCTGGCTACATGTCAGTACATATGTACATACAGTAAAATTATGTACATACATATGTAGGTAGCTATGCCGGACGTTTTTAGACGGATGAGTCAGTCAGTTAGACTGCTGTGGCACATGTGTGATTTTCTGTTTACATTTTACATAATACGAGCACATGTTCGTTTCGATATATTCCGTGAGCATATATTCAAGAAAACAAAAACAAAAACATTCTAAATTTCTAAGCGCACATGCCCCTGCATGCGCAACTGCTAAAAAGGAGAAGCTAACAACAGACTGCGCTGTCTAATGACACCTGACGGCTGGATTAGAAAACTGTGAACATGTGAATTTTATACCAGGCACACAGCAAATACAGTAGGCGAGCGCACAAATCTAATGAAAAACAAATGTTTTGCAATTTGATTAGATGTGTAGCTGTAGCCGTCCGTCCGTGTCGGTGTCAGTGTCGGTGTCGGTGTCGATGTTTTGTACTCCGTGCTGTTATTCTGTTATGCATGGAAGCGCTATACCATACAACAACTACATATGCAGCAGAGGCAATGAGAGACAGACCAGTGTATAGAAATGTTAGCACAGCACACTGAGCCGTTCACCGAAAGTACAACGCATGCATAAATTGTTCCCATCCAATGTTGAGGTTGATTGTGACTGCTTTTGCTATTGTGTTGTTGTTGTTGACTAGGTAGATATACACACATAGCTTTAGGAAAAGTAATAAAAGAAAAATTGCAAAGCACAATAAAAAATGGCTGAGTTGCTTTTTAACCACAACAATAACAACAACAACAACAACAACAACTGACATAATACACGTGAGTACAAGTTGCTATTTTTGTATTTAGTATTTGGCATCCCGCATTTTTTCTCTTTGCTTCTTTGCTTTTATTGAGTTTGCTAGTGTATTAGATGATACGAATAGAAGAGAAAATGCATAAGCAAACAGTCTTTGCCGGCAAGTTGTCATATTGCAGACTTCGTGCTGATTTTGTTGTTATTTTTTCTAGTAGATATTTTGTTATTATATTTGTTTTTGTTTTTGTTTTCAATTTTGAATGTTTGAAGGTTATTGACAGAAAAGAAGGAGCAAAACAAAAGTGAAATAGTTTCAGTAAATAACACAATTGTGAGGTGACCACACCGAACATAATTTTAGCTGCCCATTTCTGGGTATATAAAATTTTGTTAAGCTGCTGACCATATAAATAAAATTTTATTTTTCAATTTTTAAAGTACATAATTATCTTTAGTTTCTAATATATGTATACCATATATTACATATAAGCTAACATATATTAAATAAATTAATTTAATAATTACTGATTTAGTTAGGCCGTGTGCGAGTAAGAGTAAATTTATGGTAAATTTAGGTTAATAGTAAATTATGTTGGCATGGCAGCGTATGTTGGTATTTACCAGAATTTCGAGCAGGGTAAATTAGATAAAAATTAGGTAAATTAAGTAAAAAATTGTGAAAATTTTATAAGATGTTTAATAAATAAATTTAAAAACTTTTAAACAAAAATAATAAATGAGTGTAATAAATAAATATTTACATAATTGCAATGCCAAAAATCCCTAGGAAATTTAAATTTATTTTACCTCAATTAACTCGAACTCGCACACGGCCTTAGCTAGTTATTCCAAATATAAGTCGTCTTGTAGTGTATCCAATAACCTCGTCCAAATTCAAATATATTAATAAATATATTAAAATACATATATAAGATAAAAATTTTTATCAATTTCTTTGCTTTTATTTAAATTAATTAATTTTTAGTGTTTACAATTTTTATATTTTATATTGTCATTAAAAGATCAAAAAATGTATGCCAAAAAAAGCTTTTAACATATTTTAAAAGTGATAAAGTGATACCAATTTGTTTCAACCATACTAATTCTGTGTTTTTACAAGTCTGAAAGAAAAAATTACGGTTCCTACTACCCAGTGGCGGAGCTAGACCAACTTTGCACATCGGCGACATCAGAATTGCGAGGCCCCCTTTATAATCCAGTTGTAAAAGTAAATAAGTTATATTCACTAATACGACAAAGCATGATTGAAAGTTTTATTGCTAATCAAATTAAAATAAACACAAATTAAAATAAATGAATTTTCCTACTTTTAACCTCACTCAATTATTTTTAAACTATA